AAAGATATTTACATGTCAATTGATCTACACGATCAACTGGAAGAGCGATGCGTGAGGTCATGGAAGATTCAGGTCTACCACAGTGCACGAGATGAGATTAGAATATTAAGATTGTTATTCGAAAGGCACTCCACAAGGTTTTGAGTACATGTAACAATATATATATATATATACATATTCGACGATGCTTCAGAGATTGGTTTATTTGAATTTAAAGAGAGCGTTGCAAGATCGAAAGCCGATTTCGAATACGAGAGACAAAGCGTGTGTTTATTAAACAATCGATTACATTTTCTCGATTTTCCAGCTTATCTCCCTGACCATGCATTGATCGCTTTGCTTTGTAAACTGTAAATGTACCAACTGAACAATAGAAAGTTTTTTTCAATCAACGCAGAGTTAAAAAGACACAAATTTCTAGTCGTTGTCTAGGAAGTTGGCGTTACATTCGTACCAAACGTTGTAAACTCGAGACGTCGAAGAGTGCAAAAAGTAATCGAGGTTTTGAGAAGCTCGTAATAATTACCGCAACAGATGTTCGTCTTTTTCTTCGAGTGGATCCTCTCCTTGTGACGTTGGACGTTGAACTGTCGATTACTTTCGTATTTGCAGTCGTCGCAACTGTACGTCGTTCTTTTCGTTCTTTTCGTTCTCCTTTCTCTCGGCAGCTTCTGTACTTCTCGTACGAAGGCCTCGTTGCTGTTCTGTGAACTGGCGAACCAAAATTCAGAAAGATTTTATACATAGCAACGCAACTTTGCGACGAAGAAAGTCGCGAGGGATAAAGAGGAGCAATAATTCTCTCTTTTTCGCATGAACTTTCGCATAGGCGTTGCAACAAACACTGAAAAAGAAAAAAAGAAAGAAGGAAAAAGTACGAGTCACTTTGCGTGTCTAGAAGTGACTCGCGGAGGCAGACTGTTTTTTTTTCTTCGAATTTCTTTCAAATTCACGGAGTGCCTTGACACGACGTTCTTACGTGTTTTCCATCGATTTGCAAACATTCATGACGAAAACTCGAAAAGGAAGGGAAGATAGGTTATCCCCGTATGTATACTGTTGCCACTCGAAACTCTGAACGATGCTGCTCGCACACGTGCCAATAACTAACTGAGGCGGTGCCGTGGAAGTTCAAAGGGAAGGATCGCGTTTGATAGCATCGACGCGGAGCTCGCAGTCAAAAGGCGGTGTCCGCTCTTCTTTTCCCTTCTGTTGGCCCCCCCGCTTTGTTTCGCCTTCACAGCCAATCTAAACTCGCGTCGACAGTCTTCTGTTGCCAATGGAATTCGATCGTTCTCAGTGTTTTCATATTCCAATGCGTATATTTCGTCGGCGTGCTGAAAAACTTATTGTTACCGGAGGTCAAGTTCCTGATTTCGAGGCATGCGTGTACAAATGGGCCTGTACGATAATTGTAAAATAATGTAGTAATGTTAAGGATACGAGAGGAGTAGACAGTGTGAATCTAATCATCTCGAGAATGTAACACAGGCCACTATTTGTGGTTATTTCTTCGAGATGGAATCAGATCGATACACACGCGCATCAACGACTTTGCAAATCGATCGGCAGAATGACACTTTGATTCGATGATGCTAAAATAACAAGCCACGTTTCCTTTTCGATGAGCATCGATTTTAGTGCGATTAACCTTCTATTCCGTTCTCAATTTGGGGAACATAAATTTCGAATGTTCTATTGTAAATTAAGTAGACGGTTTATTGGTAGTTGTTTGCCAACAGTCAGAAAATGCAATGAATATAACATTTTCTAATAAAATTTTTAAGTAGACTAACAGCCATATATATATCACGTTCCGTGCCATGTGTACCACCGGTGGTACACGTTAAACTTGA